AAGACTTGGTAAATCTGCATGTCTCGTGTTTCATCTCTTCCTATTAGTAAAATGCAAAGCTATGAATAACCTCAACTTTTCACTGTTTCAGTTTTCTTTTAGAATAACAATTTCAGTTCATTTGGTTTCCTTGCATTAAGTAATGTAGGTCAGGGACTTTGCCTTGCAATTTTGCTGTGTAGGCTCTAAAGCTGTGCTGATACAAGACTCTCAGTCCTGCAGAGATCACACCAGCATTCTAAGGGTTTTCTTCCAAAATCACATCCTTATGGTTGTTATAGGTTGTAGAACAGTGTAATATAGAAAACTGACTAAATAAGACCTTGAGAGTATGCCACTACATAGTCCTTTTTAAATGGAGGGTTGCATCTGACCTCCTGAAACCTCAGTAGTGTGCATGTTTCTAAACTATTTAGAATATTTTTCTTTGCTTTTTCCAGTCATTTAGTCAAATCTCTCCCTGTTCACTTCCAGGTGATTGGGATAGTTCTAATCCATCTTCGTTAAATGTAATATATGAAGAACAGTCACCATTATCTTCATCTTCACATTCTGCTTCCCCATCTGAAGTGTGTTATTTACCAGTACCAGGAGAAGCTTTAACAAGAGTTCAGCTGTCTGAGAAACTGGAACAAGCAAAGAACACTGTGCCTGAAAAGATAAGCACTTTAACTGAAAACCAGTTTGAGATGAAGCCTCAGTCTTCTCCCCAGAGAACAAAGAACAGATGGGAATGTCCCTCCAGTCCTGGGTTTGAGATCACAAAAGGTACTTTGGAAGTAAGGACCACAAGAGACAGATCGGCAAGTCCAGAAAAGTTTGGGGCTGCTGAGAGCCACCCTCAGGCAGGATTCCACAGAAAAGGGGATCCTGAAAAATCCTATGGCAATCTCTCACACAGATCTGAGGGCTCCAGGAAGAGTGAGAGTAAAGCCACAGAAATAGGGATGAACAATAGTAACAGAAAAGAGTATTCCAGTGGAAATCCAGGAAGAGCTGCCAGTCCCCACAAGCATCTCGGTAAGCAAGGAAGCGTAGAAATGCTCAGCAGGTTACAGGAATATCAAGATAGAACAATTGGTGGTGATAAAACAACTGCCGAGCACTTGAAAGGTGGAAGTGGTAAAATTGGAGTCACCTGGAAAGACACAAAGCAGAAAACTTCTGGAAAGAGGGAAGGATGGTCTCCAGAGAGACAATACACAGCATTTGACGAATATCATCTTCCATTCAGTGACTCTAGGCAAAACACACCTGAAGACGAAACAATGAAGAAGTCAACCTCTGGAGGACCAAGTTCCAGCAGATTCAAGACTTCCAGCCTTTCCAACATTCCACTGCTTTCCATGGAGAAACACAGAAGGCTGGAAACACACGAGACTTTTACACTGACCAGACAACACAGAGGGAGACACATGGAGCTGCCCGATGAAACCAAAGATGATGGAATTTCCAAATCTGAGAGTAGTTCTCCAGTCAAGAAAACACCAGTAACTCCTGGACCTTGGAGGGTACCGAGCGCCTGTAAAGTCACCCCAGCAGCAGGTGTGGCTGAAAAATGGGCCTGACTGACACTTTTTTAGAACCTGTTTTAATCAAGTTTCTAATAAGGGTCACTTAAAAGCATTGTTTCTTTTCAGAGTTGTCATTTTTCTTCCAGAAACTGGTTAGAGGGTGGAAAGCATTTGATTTGTTCTTAAATTATCTAAGCTGCATGAAGGACTTTTTGGATTGCTTAACTGAAACTTCCTAAGCTGCTGTCCCCTTGCCCTTTTGAAGGCAGTGTTCTGCTGCTCATCATTGCACTGCTACGGCTTTCTCTGATAGTATTGTGAGTTCCTGAACAAATTATTTAATGCCTATATCGCAAATGTGATCATCACTCACTCCTTGTTCTTGTGCCAAGTTATCTGTTGTATCCAGTCCATCTAATCCTTTTCCTCTGTACTTCAGTCACAGAAAAGGCAAGTGTCTGAAGTGGGTGTTTGCTCCAGAGCATGCTGCATGTTTACACAAGGAAGCACCCGTGTTCTTACTGGGTCAGTAAGATGATGGGTGAGTTGGTTCTGTCGATTTCCAGGGCAGCAACGAGCCACTGATGCTGTTCAATTAAGGGGTTTTCTTAAATTTTTATACCAACCACAAAATCCTGTAAGTAAAAACTGTATTTGACATAATCACTGTTTTGTAATTTTGCTTGTTATGACCATGCCAGAATGGCTTTATTTTCTTGACTCATCAGGATGCTTAGAATAGCTGTGTGCACACATCTGAAAATCCTGCTTTTTGTGAAGTAACATCATCCCTTCAGGTTCACTCATGGCACCACGGCACCCGCAGTGCTCTTGGTCAGTGTGAGCAGTGAGTGTACATCTTCAGCCTCATTGTGCTGCTATGTACTGAATCCCACAATTACTTCATGTCATGCTAGTTGGGAATCATTTTTTTCCTTCTGTATGAAACTGGGTGACCTTTAGGACAGAACCAGCTTCTCACTCTTCCCTGTGTGGACTGGACATCTCCCATATTTTCCTTTGAATGCGTGGTCTGTTCTAAGAGCACTAAATAGGTGATATACAGGGTACATGAGGCTTAATATCTATTGTTTGGGCTAGAATACCTGCTTTAAAAAGAGGAGTGATGCCACCAGATGCATCAGTCCTACAGCTGGAAGAACAGCAGGCTGCATAAATGGAAGAGGTTTGTTTTAGTCATCATTTTAGTGATGATTTCCTGACCGATTTTTAGGGACTGTGAAAAGTGTTAAGAGGAGCCCGTTGGGGCAGTTTGGAGAAGGAAGTGTCAAAGGCCAAGCTTTATGTACTCATGTCAGAATTCAGACTAATACGACTTGCTGTTTGAATGAGTATCTCATTTTGGCTTTGAAACATGAAATGTTTCCTAAAGTGTAACAAGGCACAGGGTGTCAGTTCCGAGTGGAATTCTTCAGCAGTACAGATGCTGCTCAAACAGCTTCTCAAACACAGACCTTGGAAATTACACCGGCTTTAAAGCCGAGCTGAACTGTGCTCTGCTGCTGGACTTCAGGTGATCCATTGAGAGTTGCTGTGTAGCATAATATGTGCAAATACCCCCTTTTGGGGAGTATGACTGTGAAAATATTTAATACTTTGAAGTAGCCTGTGTAGATATTAACCATGTATTCTTATCCAGAGATTCTGTTCTACGTGGAGTTGTATGCACCTGCATACCTGCCCGCTGAGTACAGTAACAAATTCAGACATTGAACACAAAGGTGACTTACCACCACCAAAATCCTCCCCCCATCATAACCACCTCCCCTGTTTTTTCTGTTACTGTGACCTGATTTAGTGTCTTCCCTGTCTGTGATTTCTCCTTCCACAGAACTTGTATCCGTTCCAACTGTAACAGATGACTTAGCGACGTGGCCTTGGAATGCTAAGTAATATATGGATGTACTGGGTGTAAATGTTTATATATTGTACAGCACCTTTATACATACTTCTGAGGTTCTGACTAGAGAGAGACCTGTAAATCGCTCATTATTTTTTATATAGATATTAAAAAGAAACTCCAGTTCATGGCCTGTTGTATCTGCACTGTATAAAAATAGATTCTTTGTTGACTTTCAGTGGTGTGATACCTTAAAACAGCTGAATCCCTGACCCGGGTCTTACCTACAACCATTTTCTTCCAGAAAACAAATGCAATTTATTCCTGGAAGTTTCCTTGACTCCCTGTTCAAATAACAAAGGTATTATAAAAATGATCAAGTCATGTAGAAACGGTTGTTAATGATGAAATACTTGTACTGTAGGTTTATTTGTACATTTTGATATATAAAATTGTCATCTCCTTTTACATCTTACAACTTTTCCGTGTACAGAAAATAGCTGTAAACAACTTACTACCAAAAATTCTTCTGCCATCTCACCCCTTCTGTGAAAGAATGAAGCTATGAAAAGTTCCTCAGTTTTTTGCTTTTTTTATTATTAATAAATAGAAGGGGGTAGAGCCAGTTAAGGAACATGTAACTTTAACAGATGCCAAGAAAACGTTCTGTTTCCCCCCGTGCCCTTTCCAAGCATTAACCTGCTCGTGAGGAGGAAGCCTGTGCTGTGTCTCTCCCTGCAGCTTTCTCCCCTTGGGTGCTCCAGTGTGAAGCACTGTTCCAGCACAGACCTGCAGCAGCTTCTCCCACCACCACCAGAACAAGACATGACAGGATGTCCTGGGGACAGGGAATGAACACAGCAGAATACTGTGCATCGATAAAGGCTTTCCTCTTGTTTGTGCTGGAGCCTTGTTCTCCTGTAACTAAGGTTGGCAAAAAGTGATCATTGTTAATTTGCAGAAGACCCAGCATCAGCCAAAGGGCACGAAATCTGTTACTGTTTGGTTGTCAGCACGGAGGCAGAATTCATCTTGTGCAGACCCCATTTCAGTGCCTGCTGCAGTAGTTCAGGAGAGAGGCAGAGCCTCAAGCACACTGAGCTCAAAAGGGAAGAAATGCTCTTCAGCACAGTCAGGTAAATGCGTCTGGGCATAATCAGTCTGAGCAGAGCACTGGAGGATGCTCAAACAGATGAATCTCAGTGTAGCTCCAGAACTCTCAAACAGGAAGGTGCTCACCAAGAGGAGGGCTGGCTCTTCACTTGTCACATGCACAGGACTTGGGTTTGCAGGAACAAGGCACCCGTGGCCCCATCACTGTCCCTCCAGCCAGAGCTTGGGGCACTCACATTGCTGTTGGTGGCTGATGCCCAGTTCTGCTCTTTGCAGTGCAGCTGCTCCTGTTTGACCCCATTAACTCTGTTCTGCTGTGTGCATATGGCCATGGGGTGACCAGTTCATTCTGTCTGTTGCAGAACATGAAAGCAGAGGAGAACCTGTGATACGTACGCTGAGAACCTGTTTAAAACCTGGTCATTGCAGCTTTCTGCAGCTGGAGAACACCTCTGCGTTCACCCAAGGCTGTTGGTTCTCTTCTCAGGTGGAGATGGCCAAGTGCCCGTGTGCAGTCAGTTCATGGTTTAATTTTCCATAACTGAAAAGAGATTCTGAGTGTGAGTCTGGGTCTGAAAGCTGATGCCCTGAGGGGTTTTCATCTGCAGGTAAGAGCCGGTCTCCTTTGCCCAGCCTGTGCTGAATGCTCTCTGCAGTGAACTCCAATTTAAGTGTGAGCCACAGGAGGACTGTGTCTTCATTCCAAAGGGAAAGGACAAAGGAGTCCAACTAACGGCATTAAGTGGGCACCACAGACCTGAACAAGGCTGAAATTTGAGTCATCCTTGTCCTTCCCTGCCAAATCTGGCTCAGGGAGATGGAGGTACATGGTCTGTTCTCTGAACTACTACATAGCAGGATCCTAATTCAAACCCCAGCCTTCCTGCGGGGGCAGGAGGAATTTGACTGTGGCACAAGCGACCCATTAGTCTGGGTCAGAGTTATACTTACTCTGATATTGAATCCTAGAAGATCACTTATGACACCTGAGACAGCAGAGAGTATTACAACACGTGTTATGTTGTAGATTAATGGGTTCATGGTCAGCCCATACAGCCTGAATGGAGTATCCAGCTCCTGTAGAGACCAGAATAAAAGTCCATTAGCATTTATCCACATCAGAAGCAATTAATCCTCTGACTTTTAGCATAATACCAGCTGTCAGGCAGAACTGCCAACCATGCACTGCCTCCGTATCCTTTCTTAAATGTATGGACACAAATTTCAGGCCTCCCAGCTCAAAGGCATTTTCTAACTGCTGAATCTGAGCAGGCTCCTTTGCCACTCTGGTTGTGTAATAAGAGCTTGATGCAACAGGCTGTAGAGTTTGCCTGGGCTAATTTATGTGACTCAGACTGTTCTCTTTCTTTTCCAAATACCTACTCTGCTACTCTCAACAAGCTTCAATATTGAAGCTGCTGAAGGAACATGACCTCAAGCACTAAGGAGACGCTGTGTTCACATGCGCCTCTCCTCTCACTGATCTAAGTTGCAGCAAGCCACTACTTAATCAAATGTTTGCAGGACCAATTAACCACACTGGTCCTGTATTGCTCAAACTTCTGTTGTAGAAGACAGGCTGAGAGAGCTGGGCTGGGGCAGCCTAGAGAAGAGAAGGCTCCTTAAGGGGAGACCTTGGAGCAGCTCCAGTGCCTAAAGGGGCTACAGGAAACCTGGAGAGGGGCTTTGGACAAGGGCCTGTAGGGACAGGACAAGGGGAATGGCTTTAACCTGCCAGAGGGGAGACTGAGATGAGCTCTGAGGCAGAAGTTCTTCCCTGTGAGGGTGCTGAGGCGCTGGCACAGGGTGCCCAGAGGAGCTGTGGCTGCCCCATCCCTGGCAGTGTTCAAGGCCAGGTTGGACACAGGGGCTTGGAGCAACCTGCTCTAGTGGAAGGTGTTCCTGCCCGTGGCAGGGGTTTGGAACTGGATGAGCTTTAAGGTCCCTTCCAAACCAAACTATTCTAGGATTCTAGGAACTTGCCTTAGCAAGGATAAGACAAACAGGAAGAGGAACAACAGGCAGTGTCATTAGTCATTGCGTCTGTAAAACCACATTTCTGGGGAGAGCAGCAGCTCACCTTCAGTAGCTTTGTAGATAGTTTCAAAACGTTGTTTACCAGAGACAGCTGTTCTTTCTTGTTTGGCTTCTTCTCCATCTTTAGGTATAAGTTTATCTGTGATAGAGATGTTACAGATCAGATGTTAAGATGTTAATACTGCAGCAATAGCCCCCAAGTAATTCCTAACAGTGGGAATTGGAGCCATTTTTGCAGTCTGTTGCCACTGCTGAAGCAGTGATGCATCCACAGACAGGAATTCAACAGTGATAATGAACTTTTTGTGATTGATATGGCACATGTTAACCCAGAGACAAAATCAGCTAGAGTCTTAGATTCTGTGTCTGTCCAAACATTTGCCAGCTCATCCCTCCCCAGCTGCACAGAGCTTTAGTGCCTTCTGTCCAGCACAGGGGTTAAAAGTTCTAATTTAAAGAAGGGTTAAGTTCTAATTTAAAGAGTTGATTCCAGTATTTTTTTAAGCTGGTTTGAAATACAATAATTATATTTAAACAAGCCACAAAGCCAAAGAGAAAATATGCTAAATGGGGATACCTGCTCAGTGAGCAAGATGGAAATGTTACTGTATTTCTTATTGGTTTCAGAGCCCAAAGATGCCAGGCGTAGTAAAAAGAGAAGAAGGGCTGCCTCCCAGATGAGGAACTCCCAGTTGTAAGCTGCATTCAGAAATGTTTTGTGACCCTTAAGAACCTGTAATGGGAAAAATAACAAGTAACAACATGCCTGTTCTGAGGAAAAGTGCCAAAGCATCACCCCGGCTCCCCTTCTGGACAGAGATCCCTGCTCTGGAGCTACTGAACATTCACCCCTTGGAGTGCAATCCATTCGTGCAACCAGGTTAGAGTAAAAAGTCTTGTTTCCAACATGGCTTTAGCATGGAATTTTGATTTTTTTTCTTTCTGCTTAGAAAAGGACACTTGTTCTTTCTCTTTCCTCCCTCTTGCCACTTAATGAGCAATACGTTGTCTTTCATGTGTGCTTATCCCAAGGACAAGCCTCGGACCACCCCAGCCAGGCTGCGCTCACTGGGTCTGTCATTACTTTCCCTGAGAAACCTGTGGCTTACAGAAGCCATCACAGCAGAGTTGGTGTGTACTGATCACCAGCCTCACTGCTACCACAACTGTGGTGCCATGGCAGCAAGAACTTGCCTGAACAATCTAATGAATCGCTTGCCAAAACCAAAGAAACCAAGAAACTGCTCTAATAGTAACAGTGCTCACTTAACAGGAGGCTTAGTGAGGGATTGGAAAGTATGATGGCTATTGACCTGCTTTTCAACAGCGGGTTAAAGAAGGTGCTGCAGTCAGCCCTCTTTAGTAACATGCCCTGTGAACACTTGAGATATCTGGGCAGAGAGACCTCTCCTTCATGCACAAAAGCCAATGATGTCCTTAAATTTTTCTGATGATTATAAAACCCCAGACTTTCCTCTGCTAACAGAGAACTAATATCTAAACACAGAGAAATAGTACCTAAACGTAGAGAATTGCTGTCTATTACCAACAAAACACAAAGCTTTTTAATAATACAAACCACACTGCATTATTTTGGAGACAAACAGCTACAGTTTGAGCACTTTGAAGGTTGGCAAAAGAAAAGCTTCCAGTAATTTGGGGGTTTTCCCCCCTACTTCCTTAAAGAAAAAGGTTCAAATCTCACCTGGGCGCAGCATATAAAAGCGATTGAAAGAGCCAGTAAAAAGATTGATGACACAACAACATCCACGGACCGCTGGGGGCCTCGCCTCTGCCAAAACAAAGACTCTGAGTCAGGGCTGAGAGGGATGAGGAGCTGTGAAGTCAAAGCTCACCACAAAGAGCTCTAAGTGTTCACTGACTCAAGCAATGCCGCCAGCGACAGCAATGAGGCAAAGAGCCCGGACTGAGAGCCTCACTGTGCCCTCTGTAACAACCACATCCTGGCTTGGAACTCACCTTTAGATAGGAACGAAGGGATAACCAGATCTTAATGTTTTCTACCTTCTTGAGTCTGAAGTGAGGAATTTCGTATTTCCTGGCTTTCCGAGCAGATGTGATGTGACTAAAAAGCTTGGCAAACAAAAACCTCTGCAAATGAAAAACAAAACCATACACAACATAAATTGTCTAAACCAAATGAGATTGCTTGGGATCACTTAGTGGTAACTGGCAGGAAAGGTTGTGGCACCCTGGGAAAGCTTAACAGGGGCCCTTGGGGCCTCTCCAGTAAACAGTAGCTACTGTGATCTGTGCTTGGAACAACCTGGTCTAGTGGATGTGTCCCTGGCCTTTGCAGGAGATTGGAATTGGGTAAGCTTTAAGGTCCCTTCCAACCCAAACCAGCCTGTGATTCTATGCTTATATGATCTAATGCCCCATCTCAGAACAGGCCAATTCAGCAGGCTTTTTGTTCTTCCCAAACAGCTCCATGCTCATGTGTTCACTTCAAGATGTGAAAAGGTAATTTCTCCCTCGGGGGCAGGCTAAGAGGGGGAGTGCAGGGGTCAGGAAGGGTATTGACAGGTTTAAGTTTGTGACTTAAGTCTTTCCAGACTCCCCTACCTAAATCTCATGGACCTGTTACCAGCTTTGACACCACAGCTTGCTGAGATGCACTCGTCTTACCAGGATCTTCTACAACAGCAGCAGAGTTCTGGTAGAACACCCACACCAGGGTTCATGAAAGGCAACAGGACATTTAAACCCACCTGTTTGTATGTTCGTTCAGCAACGCACATCATGAAGAAGAACATCCAAGTTAAGCAAAGTCTTTCAAGAAAGTTGATTGCAGACAAAACAATGACCGGAGTGCTCGCAGGTGCTCCACAGAAGATGTGCAAAAGCTCCTTTAGAGAAATGGAGCAGAGCTGCTCCAGGTTGTCTGTGCGGAAGAGTCTGTAGAGGAATGGTAGGAATGCTAGTCCGATGGTAATGATGTTTCCCAGCATCTGATAGCCCACTCCTTGCTGGTAAGCATTAACCTGGCAAGCAGGAACAAACCCAGGATGATTACGTGTGTTTTGCATCAAGGGGAAGGCATGCTGCTGTGGCAGAATTGATTCAATCGAGGATTCAGTTCCCCTTCTCTTCAAAGGACATAGCCTAAAATAATTCCATCCATTTCGTTCCAAAACCAGCAACAATCAGTCAATAAATAATAAAATCACCACCTTGAGCACAGTGCAGAGACACAGCCAACAGCAATCAGCACTCATTAAAAAGAAAGAGGGGAGACTGAGATGAGCTCTGAGGCAGAAGCTCTTCCCTGTGAGGGTGCTGAGGCGCTGGCACAGGGTGCCCAGAGAAGCTGTGGCTGTCCCATCCCTGGCAGTGTTCAAGGGCAGGTTGGACACAGGGGCTTGGAGCAACCTGCTCTAGTGGAAGGTGTCCCTGCCCGTGGCAGGGGTTGGAGCTGGAGGAGCTTTAAGGTCCTTTCCAACTCAAACCATTCCATTAATCTTCAACAGGACCTCCTCAGTTTTGGTTTGTGCAATTTTTAAGTTAAGAACACGTAGAACAACTGTACTGGCCATTGAGGAAGGACCACTTTTATACTGCACTTCGTGTTCGCATGTAAAGCCATTTTCAGGTTTTCTGGTGGTTGTCTTTTAGTGTGAGGGAGAGGCTGCACTGCTCTAAAGCCCTCTTACCCTGCTCATGATGATCCCACTGATCTCCAGCACAGACATGTCCACCTTCTTGCAGTCATTCCCTTCCCAGATTAGTGCACTCACTTTTGCAGATGCTGGACTTGTATTCTGCAGCCAAAACAGATGGTTCTATAAAAGAGAAAAGAATGCAAAAGGTGTATCATCATTTCTGACCCACTATTAAATAATGCTTTTTCCTAAAAAGTGTTTAGATTGAGAGGGAAGATTCCCAATTTGTCTTTAGGTGAAATACTTTGCTTTAGGATTAGGAGTAGTCAGGTTAATACTGGCAGGGAGAAGGAAGTTGATCATTGATGCTACTTAGATCATCCCAGACTTCCAGGTGACTAACAGAGCTGGCAGGATGGGCTCCTCCAGCAGCATGCGGATGGGCATTTCATATTATTTGGGCATATAGGGGGAAGGGGTGTGTGGGGTGTGTGGAATCCTTCACAACATTCTCAGCTACAGGGCACAAACCAACAAACCTGCTGGAAAACATCTTCCTTGGCATCCCGCCTGGAATCCCTCACAGTCATCTCCTCGCTGTCGCTGGTGCAGGACGAGCGACACTCGGGCCCGTGAAGCAGATCATCCCAGAGCATGTCTTCTGTCTCCGAGTCATGGCGAGTGCTTTCGGAGTCCCTGCGGGTCACGCTGCAGCTCCGGGGTCCCACATTAATGCAGGACCTCGAGTCCTGTGAGGAAAAGCAAACTTTACACAGTGCAGCCCCGCACCCAGTTTGCAGATCCCAGCATCCAGAGCAGCTGAAAACTGACCTGAAGTCACCCAGGGAGCATTAGTTCCCCAGCTGTACAAAGTGACTTACTTGTTCCAATGCAAAAGTTTTCTGATTTTTGCATAAGCTATTTTAAGATTTCATTGTTATTTTGTATTTATGGATTTTTATATTTATCATTTGATATCCTATATATTTCTATTTCATCTTCAGGTGGTGGGAGTGACAGGGGGCAAGTAACAAAGTGAATGAGTATATATGACAGAATAGATTTCTTTCTTCTTTTTAAAATCAAAATTTATTAAAGCTACAACACGGTGCTGCCTCCCAAACCACAAGAGCAACTGCAGGGATTCAAAACGAGCAATTAGAGGCAGCGTGGACTAAACTGTGCTGCCAAGAGTGACTTTTTGGGTGTTTGGCTGGTTTTGTTAAACGAAGTGTTATACTCCCACATGTGAACACAGTTTACAATGCCACAAACAAGCAGGGAGGCCACACCTTATATATGAAGATGCTGAAGTGCTATTGTTTGATATTGGTCTATTCTGATGGGGAGGACAGCCCTGCACTGTCCATGCTCAGAAAAGCTCTGACTCTTGTATTTATGACCGTACCTGACTGTATAATGTGGATTCTAGTTCAGATTCCATGACACTATCAGAGTCTCTGGTACTTTTCAGAGCTTCTTTGACCTGCCAAAACCAAAGGAAGACTTCTTATGCATAGCAAAAAAACCTGTGTGGAAAATGGCATAAATTCAATGTGGGTACCTGTGAGACAGCCTGGTTCAGAGAAACAAGAGGCCTCTCTTTCTTCTCCTCACAGCTGTTGTCACTGGAAGCCCCTTCTAGATTCTGGCGTAACAGGATCCGTTGTGCCATTGCTTCAGCCTCCTCCTCACTCGAAAGCTCATCAGAAACACCACCTCTGTTGGTGCAGTCATCCTAGAAACACAGCAGTCAAAATAATGCTGAGGCGCTGCTAAAGGACCAGCCTGAACTGCATCAGATCAAAGGTTCAAAGCCATTGCTGCTACTACACTACTGCACCCAGTAATCTCGTTACCTGCAAAAGCCAGCAGGTGATCTCCACAGAATATGCAGAAACAGAATCCAACTTAGCATCACAGGGACATCCCAGATTTTAACTCGTTACCCCTGTCTTGCCACAGAGGTAATGAGGGAATCATGATGGGGTGGAGGTAGATTTGGGGCATGGGTGGGAAGAGGAAAGGGCAGCAGCAGCTCTTGGCAATGTCTTACCAGCAAACTTAAGCCCAGGAGAACAGATGCATCTACAAGCTGGTGGCTAGCAGAGCAGCAATCATGAGAGGTGTCCCTCCACACCTAGCTCTGCTCCTCTCCAAATGCCCGGAAACAGGAGTGTGGCACAGCACAGCAGTCTTCTGCAGAGATTCTAATCTAAGTTCTTCATGTGGGAGCTGACACCTTACAACCCAGAGGAGCCCCAAAAGTAACTCCACAAAGCTTTATATTTTAGGGATTTCAAGAGAGGTCACCATGCTTTAACTCTCTCTCTTCACAAAGGATATTTAATCTTTAATTCCCTGGCTCCTGCTCAGAGGATATTGCAGGGAACTGTTTGCAAGGCAAATTATTTTACAGAAGTGCTTTTGGAAAATTGCTCATGTATTTTTAATCATCTTAATCATAAAGAAGATCATAATCTTCTTTAACAGAACATCTTGTGAGCAGAAGGCTCTGCCACCAAACGTGCACTTTGGTAATACCGACGTTTTCCAGGATTCCATAGTATGTGTTTGACACACTTGACTGTTGTAACAGATTAAACGATGCTGACAGCTGCTCAGCCAAGAAGGACAAAGGGTTTTTAGCTTTCCTATAAGCAAGCAAAGATTAGAAGGTTGTATCAAACCACACAGTTAAATAACAACACGCTTTTTGGGCACATACAGAATACAGTGAAATCTGTGACTTTGAATGGCTCTTTCCTGCAGGTACCTGATGGCTCTTTTCCCCATCAGAAAGTTTATTTTTCTCTTTGAAGTGCAGCAGCCTGTATTCAGATCTGGCGGGTCTGTGTCTAATGCCATTATTCACACCATTCACACCATTCTCTGTCTCAGTCCCTTTCTCAGCTACCAACTTCACTCTTCTAATCCTATGAGAGAAAATACAATTAAAGGCTTTTATGTCAGAGAAAAACTCTCTGAGGAAAACACCATGTTCTCTTTCGCTTGCCACACAGGTACAGCAAGAAACAGTATAGCTAAGGGAATATGTAATTGCCTTCTGCGACAGGCTCCTTGTCCTGATTCTGTTCAAGGGACTTTTATCTGCTTCACTCTCACTGGATGCTGCTTTTGTAACTCTAATAGTACCTTAAAACTCCTAAACCCAGAGGGAAATTTTCTTATTCTTTAGAAAGAAAGAAAGAAGTGCAATTCAGAAGACAGAAAATCCTTGTCAAAAGAAAGGATCTGCCAATTGAAAACTCATCAAGAAACTCATCTGAGAAAACAGCAGGAGACAATGAAATACTATCCCAAACAATCTATCCTCCTTGTCCTTGAGTGAGCTTTACAAAAGGAAGGTGGGAAAGTGGGATGACTGTCCAAGCAGCTGAAACTAGAAGGCACAATTGCTTCTCGAAATCAGGTAAAACAGTAACTTGAGCACACACATTCAAGACAGGTCACTTATCTAATACACAGAAATAAGCTCTGTCACTTTCTCTACTCATCTATCACTCAGTTTAGCTACACTGTGAGACATGGTCTGATCTCCTAATAAGGACATAATATAAATTCATGAGGATTCAGCCTCCTACAATACACGCTTTGAGTTCAAAGCTAACTGGCAGCCTGTGACAGTACACATTCTGTCTTCATTATCCAGATATCAAATTGTTTGCAGTGTCATAAATACAACAAACCCAGTGAAGATCACATACCTCCTTTGGAAAAGCATACTAAATAAATTGTTAAGAATGGACGCAGACTCTGACTGCTCTTCTTTACTGGTTTTGTCAGGAGAAGACCAACTGTTCCCATCGACACCCCCAGATTTGCGTAACTTCCTGATTTGCAAGAAAAGGAGAATTAAATTTGCATAGCAAGCTGCTTCTAGGTCATTCTTAAAAGATCTGGATCAGCTTTGGACAGCTTTGCAGATGCTATTTTTCTTCAGCCACGCAGACAGAATGCTTATTTCCAAATTAAGTAAAATGTTATTTGGATGAACTGAAGTTCTGCATATACCCACAGGACATCAGTATATCACTAGCAAAAGATGCAACAGACAAAGTCTGGACAAAATCTTTGCTGTAGAACACTAATGGAGGCAAAACTCTATCCACATCCATCATCCTGTGTTCACCTACATTGAGTCAGACACCTAACAGTTTAATATCTAGCAGATGGACTGTAACATCTCCTACATGAACAAACTGCCAGCAATGAATCCATCACAGTCATCTCTGCCCTGTTTCTCTGTTCTCAGTCCACATCAGCAATTCCCTGCAGTTCACACCAAAACAGGACACCAGACTGGTCTGCAAAGCCTTGGAGATGCCTTTCTGCACCAAATGCCCTCCTCTGGCCACAAAGAAAGACTTTTACATCAAAAGCTGTGTTAGAAAGAAAGTTCAGCTGACAACCAAAGACCTGTCAGAGTCTGGTAAACCTGCAGTGCTTGTCTTGGTTATGAGAAGATTATGAGCAAGACAGAAAATACACAATAATGGTTAAATGACGTATTTACATAAAAATACGAGATATTTACCTATTAACTTCCAGCCTGAGCAGCCCACCATATACTTTGATGCCAACAAACGAGCCTGTCACCCCACTCACCTCCTCCGCCTGCTGAGCCCGTTGTTTGCTGAAGGTCTGTTGATCTGAGTAGACACTATTTGACAGTGAACAGTTCCCATCAGCAACATAAGGCACATTGGTCCCATGACTTCACTTGCATTCACCACAGGCATCATGAAATACAACACAACTGCTATGACTGAAAGGGAGAAAATGGTATCAAATGCCAAGAGCATGGCCGGTTCCTCTGTCTTACCTGTTTCCTTTTACACAGTTTCTCTCTATTTTATTGGTATTTCTGCAAACACTAGTGCCACACGTCTTAAAATCTACATTAAGCAGGTTTCAGATCCTTAAGTTTTATATCACATCAGACTACAAACACGTCACATTCCTTGCAGAAAAAGGATTGTAGCACAGGCTGCTACCAGCCCTTACCTTGCATAACATAGAGCACCAGAAGCCACATAAAAATACGCTGGGAAGTGACCTGTATCCACCACTGGCTGAATAATGGAAAAAATACAACTCTCACAAGTCCTTTCCGAGTTAGTGATGTCCAGGGAATTTCAGGCTTGGCTTTAGCAAACGTAGAGCCTTGGGATTAAAGGAGAAACAAACAAGCGAATTACAGGAACTTCTGTATTTATGACTTCCTCTTTGGCTGAGAGCAAACCCTGCCAGAACGCTGCCGTTCAGAAGGGTGTCAGCAGCCCAACTTCAGGCACTTGTCCAACCTAAACAGCTCCAACAGGCTGGGCTAAAAGCAGCCCTCGGTGCACCGGGTGCTGACCCTTCCCCTCCCTGCCCCAGGCTGCTCTCACCAACTACTCCCTGACTCGCTCCTGCCCCTGCTTTCAGGTTTTCATCGCTCCTTTGCACCGGTGCCAGCGAGCACCGGGCACCCTCCCCAGTGCTTCAGCGACGCCCGGTGCTGCTGCTGCTGCTGCCAGAAGGGGAATGACTCAGGCTCCGGCCAAGCACTCGATGGCTCAAGAGGAGGTCCCGGCTGCCCTGCACTAGGCTGCGATGCGGTGAGGGCTCTGCAGCGACGCATCTCTCTCACCTCTGATTAAATCCACGTCGATCAGATCAGGCTGAATGTGACCCTTCTTCTTAGGCTTGCTTTTTAAGCCCTAAGACGACGAAAACAAAAGCCTGTCATTAGCTGCGGGGGGAAGCGAGCCCGGGCTGCGGGA